TCTCAGTGCTGTGCTTTAACCCGCTGCGCCAACAGGGAGGGCCCAGATAGGAGTCTTAATAAAACTGAAGGGTCCACCAAAACCTCTCCTAGAAATATTCTCTTCCCTGTGTTGAGTCTAGATATTTTACTTTGGTCCCTCTGGTAAAAGGCCTGAAGGTTTTTGTTTTTTTTAAAGATTTATTTTTATTTATTTATGCATACAAGAAGTGGGGTGTACGACAGAGGTGCGAGAGGTGGGAGGACTCACAGAGTGGGGAGCAGATGAGGTCTGCTCTGCCATGTGGGTCAGCTTCCTGGCTGGGGATTGAACTTGAACTGCAGTGGCTGATAATACTTTGATAGCACTGAGACTTTTTAACCCCTGTGTCATGAGGGAGGCCCCAAGGCCTGAGAGTTCTTATACATGTGATTTTTTTTTTTTTTTTAGTAGACGCCAAGGGCCTCTACCAGCCTTGGGAAAAACTGGTTGATGAGATGAGTTCTAGGCTGGGAAGAAAGTGTGTTAGGAACGCTTCTGGGTGAAGAGGGTGCCTTCTGAATGAGCAGTCTTGGTAAGGACAAGGCTGAGGCCATTGTCCTCCAAGCACCCAGGGAGCCTAGGAGGGAAGGAAATGCAGTGAGCATGGGGGATACAGAATGGGGAGTTGTTTATTCTGGCCAAAGACGAACTTCTCTGACCACCTGTCATTGCTTACGAGGGTTTCCATATAGACAATTCACAAGGCAACCAAAATTAGCACTCCAGCTTACTCATCAAGGATTTAACCTTGACTTTGGATGTAAAGACAAGGTGGGGAGAGCCCCCTTGGAAGTCATCACTGTATCTCTGGAGTGTGCTGTGGGGGTAAAGAGAGCTCTACTATCAGCTCCTGTGGAAAAGACAATTTTCTATGATTCAGGGTTTGGGTCAGAGTTCTGGCCTATCCCATGTGTGGTCCAGGGTCAAGGCCTCTAAGCCTCAGTCCAAGTCAGTGCACTTTTGCTGGATGCTTATTTAGGTGCCAAGACTGTGGGCCCAGGAAGGAGTGTGATGATCCATAGATGAGTAAAGGTCACTGTTTTTCCATTCTATTACGTATGAAAAGGAAAGTTCATTTCTTCTGGACAGTCATCAGTGGGAACATACCCGGCAATGATCCATAAACCAAACTGCCCTACAGAAATGGCAGGACCTTTCATGATAGCATAAGAGGGTTTCCCACACAGCTCTTGGAAGTATGAGCTGGTATTCTATTAAAGTAACACTGACATTCATATTCCTTTTTCTTCTGTACTTTACATATATATTTTTTAAAGATTTATTTATTTATGCATACAGAACTGGGTTACAGGTCCGAGACACAGGTGTGGTGAAGAAAATTCACCAGAGACAGAGTGGGGAGCAGAACAGGCTGATCAGTGAGGTACACTGTGGAGAGGAGCAGCAGGTGAGACAGGAGAGATCTGCTAAGCCATGTGGATAACCTCCAGGCGGGGATCGAACTTGCACTGAAATGGCTGCTGCTAGCTTGCAGCCTGAGTCCTAACCCCTTGCACCACTAGGGAGGGTCCATATACTGGTTTTTAACCACTGCCATATGTGGGACTGGGTGACCTGTTGCACTAGGTGACCTGTGGAGTTGGTCCTTTGACATGTGGGGCCTTGCTGACCCTGAGTGACATCTCCTCCCTGAGTGTTGGCCAATTCCTGGCAATAGCAAACTCAACTTTCTGTGTTACCTTCATGTACAAACCAATCAACCCAGAGCCTATAACACTTCTGTAACAACCTTTTTGGGCTCTCACACTCAGTCTCATTACCCTCCTGCCCAGTCATACCAGGGCCAGGTAGCAGACAACTGGGGGCAGCCCCCAGACCTCAGAGTTCCCCTGAAACTATCCAAACCGGTCAGTCCTAAGACCTGCCTTGCCCATCCTCTTTCAAAGACACGCCAGCAGAGGCTCTTGCCCACATTTTCTTCTGTTCCCTCTGCCTTCTGACAGGCCTGGTGCTCCCGTGGCCCTGCAAGATGAGCTGTGCTTATTTCGCTGGACGAACCTCTTCCTTCATGACAGCCATTCCCATATCTGTGTCTCTTACCATATTTGATTTAAAACAAATCTTGGGTCTGTGGGTGCAGGGTATTTGATGTGCACAACTACAGACATCAAATACCAGCAGTACGCTGGCAGGGACAGGCCTGTACTTTGCATCTAGATATTTAACTTCAACATAGATTTGGGAGACATCAAAGCATGGGGTTAAGAGGGTAAGTTCAGGGTAAAGGGCCTAAGAGTGAAGACCTGGGTAGGTCTCCCAATTCCTACCCAGCACCTTAGACTTAATTCTTTGACATAGCGGTTTCCTTCCCTGTCAAGGTGGGCTGATACCAAATACCGCCTCATCAGGTGGTTGTTAAGACTGAACTGGATGATCCATGCAAAGGCCTGGTACTTAGGAGACACACCTAAGCTGAGCTTTATTTTATTATCCCATTAATCATTGTTTATTTAGAAGTAGTGCACACTATCAAATTTGAAGTATTATATTAAAACATATCTTATAAACCAAATATAATTGAATTTTAGTTATTTCATATGGTTTAGTCTTAGGAATTCATTGAACTGTGACATGTTTTGCTGCCCATTTCAATCCAAGTTAGAACTATATTTTAGTTGTGTTACAATTGCATTTGGAGATTTATGTCCCAAGGTAGTCCCCCTACCTTTGATTTATACAACGAGCTCTGGAAAGGCACTCTACACTCATGGTTTTAAAATTTCTACTTTCAATGCTGTGTGTTTATGGCAGTAACAGTTTAAAAAAAAATCACACATAATTTCCACACATTCTTTTAGGCAAACAAACACTGTCTCAACTTTAAGTGAAAAATAAAGCCTTGCTAGTTTAAAAAAAACAATCACAGGTATTCAGAATGTAGCCTGCCTATTTCCTTGAAACCCTCTAAAATGTGAGAAATGACAGGAAGCTTCAAAGTGATATTCAGCAGCATCTTAATGAGAGCTGTGATAATAGAAATTCACAAATGATACAAGCGTGGCTCACCAGCCAATCAGAGGTCAGTCCTGTAACTAAGTCCATTCACTGTTGTCATGGGGATAAGTGGAACAACATCCCTTAGTGCTCATACCCTGGCACTCTGGGGACTAGGGTGCCTTCCCCTCTTTCATGTGGCTACTTGGGATATGCTGCTACCCCAGCAGCTGGCATTACGGTCACATAACAAGTATTTTAAGCAAATTCCAGACTCCTGCTTATATTCACTCAAGGGTAAATTTATGGAAGGAGTGCCACAGCAAAAGAGTATCATTACATTTCATATGAATGCACCTGGCATCCTAACTGGGCAGTCTCAGAGTCTACATGCACCATTCTGCCAGTGTGATTTTCAGACCAAGTGTTCAGGGCTCAGACCTGGACGAGGGGCTCCCTGGCTGACTTGGGCCCATCTGCAAACCTGCCTCCAGGCTTAGGGACCTGAGTGGTTGAGAGTGGCCAGAGGTCAGTTTTCTCAAGTGGATCCTTAACGTGGGGACAGCAAGATGCACTCAAGGCCTGACCAGACCTAATTTTACACACCTGGTACTCTATAGAAAACCCAGCTTGTGGGTCACTGAGGGGGCAGCTTTTTAAAATTAAAATGCAGAATCTCAGGAATCACTGAAGATTCTAGTCTGGGAAATATAAAGGTGAGGTTGGAGCAGTGCAGTTGGGGAAAAGCCTCATGTTCTGATGCAAGAGGTCACAGATGCTGAGACACAGGCCCCTGAGAATGAGGCAAGCTCCTAGAAGGCCCAAGTCAGCCAAGGAACCCTTCATCCAGGCCTGAGCCCTGAACACTGGGTCTGAAAATCACACGGCTGGATCATGCATGTAGTGGGAGATCTAAACAAAGCATTTGTTTTATGCAAATAACATACCACTGAGGATCATGCAGAGCTGAGGAAAAATCCTAGTTAACCTGAGTTCTAGAACTTGGCGCCCTTACTTTCGCTGGTTGCAATGGAAATTCTGGGACTCATCTGACTGGGGCAAATAGACTCCACCATGGGTCCAGAGTTACATTACAGCAACCAAAGTCTCAAGGTCAGTGTCAACTCTCTGTGTTGCCACCTGCCCAATCTCTTACTCCCAGGGCTCAATTTCTGTACATGTTTGCCTTTGGTATTTTTCTCCAGATCTTCTCACTCCTTCGACGCCCCCGTCAACATGCTCTCCTATTTCCCTCCGCTCTTTGCTGTTCTACATACTATTAGAGCTTTGTTGAATTTTGAGGTGCAGAGCAAACAAAATACAGGCCTTACTGTATTGGGCTCCACAATGGGGCACATGCTGAGATGTGTAGTCTGGAATTTCTGGCATTAAGAATGCATTCCCATTCTGCCTGGGTCAAAAGTAAGATTTCATGTTTAATTTCATGTTTAAGTGTAATTTAGAGCCAAGGCCTTTGCAGTCAAAGCTCGGGCAATTAGTTATCTGGGTAATTTCAGAAAGAGAGAATTTACTGCTTGGCTTATCCTACTTGACAATTCACCCAACATAGAAGCCTGGCTCGTTCTAAAATGGCATTAGGGTCAGAAGATCTATGAACCAGATCTATTAAAGCATGCTCACACGATCCTGTAAAAGGAGGGTAAAAATGCAGAAACCAAGGTTCTGGTCTTCATGTCACAACGAAGCCCTGTCTGGCTGTGCGTAGGCTGAGCCTGTTCTTTATTAACTCCAAGTTGTTTCTCACAGTACAGAATTATTCCATCAGCACAGAAATGTGCATTTCAGTGGGACTTAGTGCACTGGCATAAACAGGTGTGGGAGTGTGTTCTTCTCAAGTGGGAGATAACATTTATGAGCACAAAATGCATCTTGGGAACATGAAAATCCAAATGCAAATATGAAAAGCTCATATTCTCCATCCTCCCTCAGAGATTCTTATGCCCCCATGTGCACGTCTGCATGATAAAAGACACTGTCGCAATTATATGACAATTAAAGCTTACCATTGTTGTAAGAGCGAAAATTTCCTACAAATTTTATGTATTCATAAGTTGGAAATTCCTTTGGGTTCAAGCTGCCTCTGAGAAGATGGCAATAAAACTCTAAATCGTTGTCAGCTGGGCCGTTAAAAGAAAAAGAGGAGAGAAAGGGAACGTGAGCATTGCAGACTCTAGACTAAACAAGTAGCTTTTTTGGGCGGGGGTGAAACTCACAGGATGTAGTCTACACACGGCCAGGGTATTCCTCTCATTATGACTTTTGAACATGCTTTATAACCTCCGTAGCATAAGCTCTGCCTCCCCCCTACCCCCCAGCTTATAGATATTTTGCATTTCATGCTTGAACCCAATTAGTCTTAATTTGCTCACAGATGTCTGTGGTTGGTTATGTCGGCATCAATTAGTTCCGGTTGTTTTCATAGGGTATATTAAAATAGAGCTGCTCTTATAGAGCTGCTCTCTTTAATTTAATCTTTTCATTTTGTTTTGAAGTAAAATCAGATGTACAATGGGACACATTAATCATGGCCAATGGGCTAAGGTTGGGCAAGGCCAGGCATCCTTGCTGCTTCCATCCGGGTAGAAGCTCCATTAAGTGACACCCAGTTCGGCAGGCACCAAGGCCAGTCTTCTCCCCAGGTGGCCAATTTTGATCAAAACTTTAAAATTCCCCCAGACCCACAAATGTACGTAAGTGATCAGATGACAAACCGAGGGGAGGCGAATTTGGAATTTCAGCCTAATTACTGAGTATGTAGTTGATTTACATATATCTAGCATGACAGTGTCCTTCAAAATAAGACTGTTCATTGATTTTTGCAGTTTATTTCTGAAAAAGGAAAAAGGACTCACTTGTAGTACATGCAAAACAAGTTATTCTCCTTAAACTCTATGCTTTCAAATTTTCCACATAAAAACGAAATGTTTTACATATCCCAAACTCCGGTTTTAACTTTAAACTTAAAATGTACCTCTACAGATCGTGGAAATGTTCTGAGTCACAAGGAAAATTATTATTAAATTTAGTCCTCCCTACTTAATTCACTTAACCTCCTTTCAAATTCTTTATACCTTCTAAACGCAGTAAAGTTTAAACTTACATTTTAAGTATTCTGGGGAAGGGGAATCGTTCACAAGCATATGGGAAGAAAGCATTTTATAAACTTCTGAATGTTCTTGTTCTGGAAGGAAATTTAACAAATTCTGATCCATGACGTCCGACTGAAAAAGAAAATAAAGAACAAAGGTATACACTCAACAAAGATGAAAAACCAACGCAAAAGTAAAAAAGTGAACTTTTGTGACAATTTGGAATTAGTTACTGCAATGAAAAGGTCAGGATTTGACTTCCCGTGAAGACTCTCCAACTACCACTCTGTTACCCTGAATCGTAATCTGAAAGGTTTTCCTTGCTCAAGTGCTTCAGTGCCAGTGCACATAATTCAAGACAGAAGTGAGAGTCAGACTCCAGCCCCGGCCCACAGCAGACCTGTGGACCTTCCTGCATTCTTGAGGGGCAGCACAGAGCCCCAGTTTGAGGTTAAGCCCTCATATGAAGAACTCTGAAAAATATGAGGGGTTCCTTTTCTGGTCTCTAGTCTGGCAAACAGCTGCCTGTTTACTTCTTAAAGAGCTCTAATCAAAGCGCATGTTTTTCCCAAGTGCCGAGGCACTGTGGATGTAAGATATAACTTGAAAAATAAATTTAACACAGTCTAGTTCAGTTCACAGAACTGTCTGTGATGGTGGAAATGGTCTAGTCTTTGCTGCCCATACGGAAGCTCCTAGCCACACCACGCCACGTGGCTACTGAGGCTTTGGAATGTGGCTAATATGAACAAGGACTGAATTTTCTTTTTTAATATGGGAGAAAAGATTTTATTAAAGAAAAATTTTTAAGCAAACATTGCATTTATAACATTGTATAGTTTTCAGGTGAGCATCATTATAAATCAATGACAGTGTATACTACATTAAGTTCATCACTAGAAGCCCAATCTATTCTTCACCACATAATTGGTCCCTTTAACCTGATTTACCTACCCATCTTTCCTTTTCCTTTTTTTGGTACTCACTAATTTGGCCTCATAGTCTAAATGTTTATTTCTGTTTTATTTGGTTTGTTTCTTTTATGCTATGTATGAATAAAGTTATATAGTATTCTCGCACCCCTATCTCTCTCCCCTGTGCTCTCTGTCCCTACACAGGGCATTGCCATCCCATCACTTGCAGGGAGGCCTCCTTGACTCCCACCCACCCCCTGCCCTCACCCCTCTTCCTCTTCACAGCCAATGTACAAGTGCCTAGAGATTTTCCTTCTTCCAGTTCTCTCAGCTCTATTAACTTCTCTATTTCTCTGGCTCCTGGCCCCTGGTCCAGACTACCGCCCTCTCATTGGGGGAAAGAATTAGCCAAACTGGTCTCCCCACACCCACTTTTGCCCCAATCTAAGTTATCTTTCACCCCCTTGCTCAAAGCCATCTGTTGGCTTTCAGTTATTCCCAGAACGCATTCTCAATCTCACGGCTCAGGAAGGAAGCCCCGCACAACCTGCCCTCCATCCACCCTCTGCTCCTGTCTTGTCTCCAGCTTCCCAAACTTTCTTTTCTCCAGTCTCCCAGGTTTGTTCTTCCTTCTGGGCTTTGCCCCAGGCTGTCTTCTCACGCTGGAACATCATGCACCCTCTCCTTTTGCTCAGCTAACACACATACACCCTATAGGTGCCTGTCTTGAAATGACGGCCTTCAAAAAAACACCCATGACCTTGTCCAGACTGGAGCTCTCACCCTCGCTTCCCGGGTGCTACATGGCATTGTCATGCCATACTCTGATTGGTGGGTAAGGGCCTGTCTTTGCCTACATGGTTGCCCTATGAAGGATCAGGCTGCATCATAGCAAGGCAGGCAAGAGCCCCAGAGATAAGGTTTGAAAGTTGGCTCTGTCCCCTCCCAGCTGCACTTGGCTCAGCTGCAAGAAGAGGTAGCTGCCAGGGTTAATGAGCAGATCCTTGAGTCCGGTTGCTGATGAAAAGGACACCCAGCAAATACTCAATGCTAGGCATGCTTGCGTGTTTAGTAACCTCCCACGAAATGATGTGAAGTTGGGTTCCTTCATGTGTTGACATGTGTATGCAGCCCGCCTCTTTCCCAGGGAGCATCAGGAAGGCAGGAGTCCTGTCTGCCTTGCACCCCCATATGCCTGACACTGAATGGTGCTCATTCTTGAGGGGAAATGTGTGGATAAGAAGAAACAGCAAGACAAATAGTATGACAGAAAGAAAGGAAAGATATCCAAAGACATCCCAAGGCATTCAGCATGGTGTGCTAAATCCAAAATTATAGGGTAGGAGATTTTCCTAGGGGACCATTCCTAAAGGGAGGATTCTTGAGTTGGGTCTGGGGGACAGGATGGTGGCTGACTGGCAGCCATGTGCTCCCAGAGGGGGCAGGGCACACACAAAAGAAGTATTTATAGTGAAGGGAGAGAAGTGATGGGTGGGGGTAGTTCAAGGGGGAACGGGCCAGAGGATATGAGTACCCCAAAGGACTCAGAGTTCCATGTATGCGCCAGGAGGAGCCACTGAGAAGCTGCCAGGCAGGGTGATACTAGTATTTTTTTTTCTAAAGATTTACTTATGTATATAAAATTGGGGTACAGGCCAGAGGTGCAGGGGCGGTGAGAGAATTCACCAGAGACAGAGTGGGGAGCAGAACAGGCTGACTGATGAAGTACACTGCTGAGGGGAGCAGCGGGCGGGTCAGGAGAGGTCTGCCGCGCCATTGTGGGTCACCGCTGGGGCAGGCGGGGATCGAACTCATGCGGAAGTGGCTTTAGCTTCTTAGTGCTGTGCTTTAGCCCGCTGCGCCAGCAGGGAGGGCTGGCACTTGCTTTTTAATGCAATCCTTCCAGTAGTCTGAGGAGGGAGGGCACATTGGTAGCCTGGCTAGAGACCTGGTCAGAGTGTGAGCAGACACTGGGGCAGGGCAGATAAAAAGACACAGTTCATGCCATTCATTTGGCAACAATCCAACCCATAGGGACTCGGGACAGCGGTGAACCTGCCGCTATCTTAGACACTGAGAAGAAACACACAAAGCAGTTAAGCCTATGGCCAGCATCACAGGGGGTGTGAGGAAGGGTGTGTGGTGACTAGTGAAGGACAACAGGAGGGAAAGAAAGAACTCCAGTGGCTCCCAGCAACTAGTTTGGAGGCAACCACTTTGGTCTCCGAGGAGCCTTCTGCAAACCCCCTCACTAGCTGCGCTGTCATTTTCTCATTCTGGTTTGTCCAAGTTCCTTCTGATGTTCTTGATTTTATTTTAAGCCCATTCTGTTTAGTTTTTTAGAAGATGATTAATGCTCACAGATGACAGTAGTCTTCCTTTTTAAAGAGTTTTCAGATACATGAAAATGATAACTTAAGTCACTCATGGCTTGGCGCAAAGGGCCATTCGGAAGCCCACAAACTGAGGGAATGTTTGGCAAAGAAGGCCTAGGGGCACTGCCTGGCTTCACTGCTCCTGTGCAAGATGGCTAGCAGGTCAGAGAGCTGTGTGTGTCTACACACCTCCAGATTCTGCACAGAATAAAGATGAATCTTGAACAGAGGTGGGGAAAGGCACGCTATGGAATGGTGGGGAGAGAGTGAGGATTATGAATGAACACACAGAAAGGACCTGGAACGGTAGCTGACGTGGTGCAACCTCTCTAGTATATATCTGCTATTATACTATTATTATGCCATTTCTCTGTGGAAAACCAACACAAACAATGATTAGTGGAAAACTTAAGCCCTAGTGCTTACAGAACAGTAAATTACATTTGCAATTGAACCATACTTTGAAGGAGCTCAGCTCTGCTTATTAAAAGCATAACAGTTATGGAGACAAGGAAGGGGACATACCATCTGTAGCCACCTTCACAGCTGGACCGCACGAGCAAGAACATCATTTACCTCTTGGAGGCAGAAGCTCTTTACCCCAACTCACTGATATGCCACTGGCTATTTGATCAAGAATCTGTTCCCAAAGAGCATCACTAGGAATGCCTGTCTCAATTCCAAACTGCCTATCTCCCATGTTTTCACTTCAGGCACCTGAAAAGACTGGGGTGATCTGAAAGTGTTGTGGGAGATAGGAAAGTACTTTCCTTTCTCCTGTGGAGAAAGGGCCACTCAGTTGCACCCAGCAAATTAAATGAGCCTGTACGAGGGGAGCACAGACTGCTAGCTGCCACAGCTGGAGGTGGGTTGGGTGGACGCTCAGGAATGTGCCCAGGTATCCTGACAATTAAGATCTGTGTTGGCCACACGGAGAAGGGAAAGTGGTAAGAAGCCTTGGAGAAGACTTATACTGAGAGATTAGAATGGGCTCAGGGATGCAGTGAGGGCCAGGGACTCCCTAAAGGACCAGGGAGTTGGAGGCATATTTGATAGGCTTTGATTTAATTTATATTCAGAATCAAATGATAACCAAATAGTAACACTTTCAGAAGGCAGTACAGGGAACAGTTTCAACCTTGGAGTAGGAAAGAATTAAGATATAAAAATCTAGGATTCCATCAAGATGGTGGTGAGGTGAAGATGCCTGTCTTGCCTATTCCAGACATCCAAAGAAAAACTGATGCAAAACAAAGCCAAAAGCTTTGAGGGAAATGCTAATGATCAACAAACACAGTATGCGTCTCAGCCAAACTGAATGGGGAGGAAAAATGCACAGTGAAGTTTGTTTAAAGTAACAACTGGACAGTGCAATCCACAGAGCCCCACTGCGACAGACTCAGGCCCATACCAACACCGGGTTGCCAAGCACAGGCACTGTGGGTCAGGGCCACAGCAGGCTTTCAGGATGAAGGATGCATTGCGGAGAACTACAGAGGTGAGGGCACAGAGCAAAGGCTATCGGATTGACCCTGAGGCTCATAACACAGAACAGCTGCAGCAGGAACTGGGTCAGGGCACCGGACTTCCTTGTAGACTAGGCTCTGACTGAAGTCCGGGCTGGGATATAAACACCTGCCACCCCCATAAAGAAATGTGTCACAACAGGAAGTTCAGATCCTGGGTCCAGGGGAGGTGCTCCTTTGATGCCTAGTGCCAGGTACTCTGATACCTAACGGTACTTCTCCAACCATTCCAACAACAAGTACAAAAACAATTGTTGAAAATTTACTCTTACTAAAAGCCATACACAATTGAAAATGGAGACAGACAAACACGGTAT